TACGGGATGTTTGTCATCATTCAAATCCTAACATTTTTGGGGCCTAAGAAAAGTTTCTTATTTATGTTCATACAATTTCTTCCTTTTATGATGATTATAAATTAGTAGGAAGCATGACAGAAAATATACAGTTTCTTCCCATCTTGGCAACATTTGAGTTCTATCGTCACTTGAAATGGATTAGGACATAAGTCTCATATGCAATTCTTCAGGAGTAACATGGAAACAAGTCTTAACTTGTTTAGTGAAGTCTACAAGAAGTAATATTTGACCCTTTGTCTATTTATTAGCCAAATAAGGAGTAGCATCTATTTTAAAGGTGAGGTGGTTAATAAGCATGCCCAAGGTCTTGAATTCGTTATAATAATAAACCTAGCCTACTAAATTGCTCAATTGACTGCTACAAGTGGAATTTCTCTTGGTGGAGAAGTAGTATAACAAAGATCAAGAAAAATCTAGTCCACTTTATCAAATATTAATATGATGAGGATGAAGAAAGAGAACAAAGCCCTAGTAGTTGAGTTCTGCGATGGACCTCATTTTTGTTCAAGATAAAACTAAGAGCTGCGAAGTATTTTGAGAAAATGGGATTCATTGGGACTTCTTAAAAAGCACCATAGCAATGAACACCTTATACCACCATCATATTAGATAAAGCATAAAAGGTATTGAAAATACCATAGAAGCATGAGTTAAGATGGATTGAATATAGAAGGTTGAAGTTTGGTGACAAAAATGCCAATGAAGATCAACACTAATATCCTACAAGTTCCGGTGATTCATGTTGAAACTTCCTTCGATTGTAGTATGATCAAAGTTAAATGCCAATGAGGAATAGGAGAACCCCATGGAAATAGGTGAACAAGGATCACTTGGTTTGTTGACTGACATACATCTGAAATGATAACTAGTGTGTTGAATGATCTACGAACAAGAATAGGCTAGCACTATTTAGCCTGCAAAATCGGTCTAGAACACCTTAGAACCCTTACAAAGAGCTTCTACCACTAGAAGGCTTGTCAAGGGAAGACTCAATCAGTTAGTTACCGTTGGGAAGTCTAAGCGGCCGTTTACCAAACGCTGGCAAGAATCACCACCCATGTATACCTTATCGGGTAACATTCTCGGCCATCAATATAGATTTTTGGTAAGCGCCTTTTACCCGGTAAGTGCCGGGAAAGAGTCTTCTCCTTCACCGGGTAAGATTATCGATTCTTGCTATGCCTTTTACCAGGTAAATTCTTGGGCTTTGCCATGCCCACTTGTTACGGCAAGTAACACCTAGTAAACATTTAGTAAACGGCTCCTAAGTAGAGGCTCAACCATTCCAAGAGGTGTGAAGTTGAAGCGTGTCCTATTAACAGGAAAATCTAAGTAGATTAGAAAGGATAAAAGGGGTCATGTTGCATGAAGAATCCGTAGTAAGAAGGTAGAGTTTAGAACCTTGCCACCTTAAAACTGCTCTGAGAGGCCTCAACCCCCACATCTGTATTAAAGGTCAATCGAGTAAAGTAGTCAAGTACCATCCAACATGCATATCCTAGACTTCAAATCTCGTGGTAGAGGAAGGTTAAAGAAGCCATAGGCAAAGAATGACCGAGATATCCACCTTGTTGTTACTTAGGATAATTGAGGTATCAAGGGGTCAGATGTTATCGTAGCTAACCATGATTGAGAAGCGGCATTGACAGAGATGCTAATCTACCCCAGTATTTCTCTTTAGGCCCCGAAAGCAAGACCAAGACAACATCACTGAAGGATGCTGATAACGCAAAGACAATATTGGGCGTTGGGGATGAAAGCTGGATGAATCCACTAAAGCTTATATCATTCTTGTTAGAGACTTAGTTAAGCAAGTCCATTTGTGGACTTTGCCTTGAATGTCAAAGAGTGATCCCATCATTATTTGGGAGTGCGGCACAAATGAGGTTCAAATAGGTTGGTTTTTCTTTTTCTCATTGGATCACCAATGATTACAAGACAAGGATGAAGCCTTTGGTTCCAGACAATCTTGGATATGCAACCTGACAATGTGATATTAGAATTTGAATGATTGATGCAACATACGAATGTCAATGGATGGATAATTAATCAATCAATGTAGTGGTCTACTCCAACTAGTAATCGACACATATAATAGTGTTATAGTGTCTATTCGAGTGTGAAACATGGTCTAAAGATGAATCCTTTAATATGTGCATTTTGAAACACAGAACTTTTTAGGAATCTTGGTATGCTTGGACAGCAAAGACAAAGCTAAGCAGTTGTCTATATTGGGTGGGTACCAACAAAAACTAATTTAGTCGTTGCTAGGAAAGATCCCAAGACAATTAATCTTCAAACTGTCAGATCATATGAAGGTTTTGTGTATTCTCGCCTGGAGAATTGAGAGAGGGACAAATTTTTATGGGGCGCAGGAGCTCGAAACCTGTCCACTTGTCATGATTTTATCCATCAAAGAACACCACTGCAGAAGATACTTTAAGATGCTTTCTAGCACAAGACCATGTGTGTGATGGTGAAAGGATGTTTTTCTATTACATCAGGAATGACGTTGAAGCTTAGGAAAATATAGTGATATGTTGCATGTTATCAATTGCTGTACATGTGTTGCTTTTCGGAGGAAATCAAGCAACCAAGGGTTATGAAGAGGCTAGCTGATTTTGTGGTAGATCATATTTTAGCTTGCAAAAATAAAAATTGTACATTGATTGATAAATGAGGTGTAGCCTTGGTGCTGTGGTCGAAGGCCTGTAAAATACAAGTTTTTGTAAAAGACCAAATGTTAAAAAAATCCAAATATGAAGCCCTACTTATTGGGTTTGAAATGATATTAAGATTGGAGGAAAATGTTGCAATTCATTGGAGTTCGATACTAATAATGCTGACAAATCTTGCAAAGAATATAAAATGCGTTAATAAATATTTGGTTCAAGTATATAGAGAATCTGTTGGAGATGCTCCAATCATGCACAGATGTACTTGAGGCAGCAAAATAGTGAGGCAGGTATCCTATAGACAACACAAATTCAGGGAATTGATGGCACTGTTGATCCATTTATCACAATCATAGGAGTGAGCCATGGGAAGATGGAGACAAATCTCTGCAGTCTGAAACTTTCCACGTACAAGCAGGCAAACATTGTCTGTTCTAGCTTTTTTTTTCGTATTCTAGGACATAGAGCTAGATTTTAGTGACTTTGATCAACAGTAACAGACCACTTCTATTTAAAATTCCGGACAATATTTTTTCTTTTTTCAATCTCTGATCTATGGCTCTCCAAGACCTGCCAAAGGCATCCAACTCTGCCTATAAGGTAGGTCCAAGGTTTATAATTATTTATTTATTTATTTGCTATGTGTTGATTTATTAATCTTTTTTAGACATGCTGCAACTAAAAGAACCTTTGAAAGGAGTTATTATTATTTCCCACTGATTGGAGCACAGCCGTTTCAATATGCAAACAATTGTTTTTTTCCGGGAGGTAAAACTCAGAGGAGGGGAAATAATACACACACCCGTGTGCGTATATTTTTGTATTCATGCTCAAAACCAGCAAAATTCTAGAAAATAAAATTAAAGTGAATACTCATGTTCATTTAGTGTGAAAAAATTGAATGCTTTATAAACCAGACGATTAATTACTTTACTCCTTATGTTCAACATCAAATACAATACTAGTTTAAGGAAAATAATTTTCATAAAAAGATCTATTCATCTCTATCGTCATTAAAAGAAGAAAGCAGCAGACGGAGGAAGAAGACATCAATGTTGGCACGAAGTAGAGGTAATAAAACCACAAGGGTGGTAGCATGGTGGATAAGGATAAGGGGATGATAAAATCAACCTGGGTTGAATCCTGCCGTCTACATATATGTTTGTGGCCAATGGGAGATTTACCTCAGGTGTTGTGGGCGAAGCCTACAGTCCCAAATTTGCCATGGGATTAGTCCGCAAAGCCTGTGATCACCTATTTCCAAAAAAAAAAAAAAAACAGAGGCAATAAGATGCCCTTGATCAAAAAAGAAAGGAAGTTCAGGAAAATTTTGAAGTGGAAGAAAGGGAAAAGCATATGGGAATAGAACTCAGACCTTAATTGACACACAAGACACGGGACGATCAAATGATCAACAAAGGCTTGGAAGCAGAGCATACATAACCTAGGATTGAAAGCCGATTTTGTGTTTTTGGTTTGTTATCCACCAATAAGAAAACAAAGCCTAATGATTCGAATGAAGTTAGATGGCATAATCTACAAAGACGATCCAAATAGAGGGGAAAAGGCCCTAGTGCCAAGGTTAGGCCTTAAGGGGTGTTTGATTTCATTTTATTGAGCTTAATGGGCGGTTAGCTTAATTGATTAAGCTATATTAAAATGTTTGATTGTAACTAAATACTAACAGATGATCTTGACATGGTAAGCCAGGCCACCCTATCCTAATGCATTAAAAGCTAGGATTGTTTCCAAAATTATCCTAATGCATAATCCAACCTCTCTCTAAAAATAATAGCCTACCAACAAATGCATAAATTAAAAATTCTGTAATCAAACAATGATGCTTAATTGTTTTAATTATGTTTTAAGTTAATAAGTCTGGTGCAATGAACTTGTTGAATTAATCTTAGCAATTCATAATTCATACAAATTAGAAGATTTATCAGATAATTAATTTCATTTAACTCTTATGTAGACCAGAAGGTTAAAATGGTAATTTTTGTTATTCGGGACAAAAGTCAAACAACAATTTATCTTAATTCATCCAAACAGACTAATGCTTATGAACGAATTAATAGATACAATAATTGATGGTAAAAAAAAAAAAGATCAAACAGCCCCTTGGGACACCTTTATAGATACAATGCCATATATCACACCATGCTTGCCTTTCTTCTTTTACTGCACCTCTATGAACGGCCAGGCACCATAGCTCTCTTTTATGTATGCAACTACCATCATGAACTTGAACTCTGACAACTCATTTTTTTTAATTTTCTGCAGCGAAGTGGAATTTCCGACAACTGCATGTAAGGTTTTGATCCTTATTTGTGTATGTTAATCCTTAACTGTGCTCGGAACTTAGTAATGGGAGTTTGATGTCTTGTTTTATTTTACAGACCATGATCTTGTTGGCCAACATGCTGTTTTTAGTGAACATGCAACTGTTTCATCTGCTACTCATATCTGTCCATACATTGCTTATGTTCAACCACTTCCCTCCTCGACTTCGAGTGCAAATGTAGCTGACGGACTTCGGTATAATAGTCAATGGAACAGCCAATCAGCTCCAAGTGAAGTACCAAATTCGTATGCTTTTCCCACCATGGATGTCCATTATCACTCCCTCTTTCAAACGCCAAGCAGCCGTATAGGTGATGTTGACCATCCTTCTCGAAGGCCAGCAAGGACTAATGCTGATATCACAAGATCAGGATCTTATGTTCACCCATTTCTTGTTGGCCAAAGGTAAACCACTTGATAAACTGCTTATATTAGAGCATCTCCAACAGACTTAACACTTCATTTTACATTTTTATCACTTCCTTTTCCATCAACGATTCTGTATAATTTTTTCAAAATAGAAAATCAACTCGAATTGATTTTTTTTATTTGAAGGCTGCAACATTAATTATATTATTAAAACATTCAATAGATTTAATATCCCAATAAATTTTATATGAAATGAAAATATATTCAACTTGATTGCTAGAACTATAAAAAATAATTTCTCTTTCCACAACATTAAATTTTAAAGAATTCTTCAAATTTGGACATTTTTACATTCTCTCTCCCTTTTCCTCTATTTTCAAGAATCTGTTGGAGCAAAAAATCTTCATTTTTTTTAAGAATTTGTTGGAAATGCTCTTCAACTTCAGTTGAAGACAGTCTCAGCCTCTCCTGTTGCAGTCGCTAAGGCATGCATGCATGCATGGAGGAATAAATAATTTCCTCGGAGTTATTATTAATTGTAGGTTCTGTTTCCTGTGGTTTGAGCAGTTCTGCTAGTAGAGCCCCTGGCTCGGTTGGTTCGTCTATGATTCATCCTTACCCTGGCAGTGCTGCACGGGCACGGGAGCGGTCACAGGCTCTTCAGGCCTATTTTCAGCAGCCAAGCAATGTAACGGCCATACGCACACCTGGATCACAAAGATCAAATGGTCAAGTGCTATCCTCATCATCTGACCAGTCTCGTGGTGGTATCTATTATCTTCCAGCATCAGGTTCATCAAACACAAGAAACTTTCAGGAAGCAGAAAACTCGATGTTGAATCCGTACCACCATATATACCCAGTTGAGAGGGGTCCATTCCAGCAAGGAGGAGGTGGGCCTGGTGCCAGTTTTCGGCAGAGGCACGGTTCAGAGAGGACTCCGTCTCAAAGTCAGTATTGGTCATAAGAGAGTGGTTATTTGGATGATGATTAATCAAGTTTTTATGTAATGCGTGGAGAACGAAATATATATTGTGGCCAGCCAAGTGAGATAGATGTGATGAACTTTGGACTTGAAATATGGGCAGCAAGATTATACGACTCATAATTAATTTGAATGCAGTCATTTTGAGTATGAATGGGACAGGATGCAGTTGCCAATCTATATTTGTCAAGATAAATTGTTTAGGACTTTTTACTAAATAAAGAGGCTATTATGTGAATCACTGAAAAAGAACTTATTTAAAGATGTATATGTGAATCAATATGAATAACTTGTAACATGGGATTTGCATATGTATCTTTAGGCAAAGGATCGTGTGAGAAGGAGAGTTGAGGTGAGAAGCGTAAGAAAGATCTGGATCCTTAATCATCTTTGATTTCAAACTCATCCATGAATCGTGTATATAGCGAGGATCATGTGAGAAGGTGATCAATTTACGAAAAGGCAAGAAGCAATCTCAGCCTCCCACCTTATTTAATCGATGGCCGGAAAATAATGTGGCATTCTTGAAATTATAAACAAATCAACGCCTAGTTTAGATAAGCTTAATAGTGGTTTAGGGGTAATGTCGGAACATTTTCTTTAATCGGGTTTTATTTGAGAGAAAATCAAGGACTAGATAAATATCTACCTTGTACCACATGAAGAAGATGCATTTGATCCTGTTGAAGCATTTGAACATTTGTTCATGTTGGAGCCAGAATCCACTATACGAAATGATTCGGATAGTGATAATGGCCCAGAAGATGCAGCCTCCAGGATGACACCACTCAGAAGAGTCAAGACTCCAAACGGTGACTCAAAAGTATAATTCATCTTTGATGATATCTCACCGTCTCAATGGCGAGACAGAATCATAGAGATGCTAAGCTGGTATTCAGTTGAACTTCAATTCTATGACATTGACATAGTCATCAAGAGATTCCTAACCAGAACTCAAGGCCGCCTCCGAGATTGGTACATGAACCTTGGAGAATACAGACAGATCCAGATCCAGCAATCACATTCTCCTGAAGAGTTCATCCATATAATCTAATACATAATTTATCGGCAACCTTGTCGAGCACATAGCTCAGGCAAGAGACGGATTCTTGAAAATGAAGTGTTGCTCATTCATGAAAAAAGACTTTGAAAGGCATTATGATCGAATGTCAAAAAGGTTCTATTGCCTTAATGGTGTCGATGATACGAATCTCAAACAAGTCTTCATAAACTCCTTCCTAGAGTCCCTTGCAAATGAGGTAAACAGGTTCATAGAATCAAAAAAACATCTCAGTCGCACATACCTCACTTGGTGGGCTTTATCAGTTGATACTCAACGCCCTCACCAAACTTTGCAACCAAAATAGATTCTTGTTAGACATTGAAAAATGGGTAAGCGAATTGGAGCAGCCTGTGATGAAAGATACCTCCAAATAAAATTGCTCTCATAAAGGGAAGAAGTCTCATTTCAAGAAGTTCAGAGGATCAAGCACCCATAATTCCTCCAAAGGGAGAAAGTCGTTTTTTCGAAGAAAGAAGTGGAAATTCATGAGGAAGAAATAACAACGAGAAAAAACCACTGACAGATGTTACATCTGCCACAGAAGAGGACACTTCGCCAAGAATTGTAAAGATAAGAAGAAGTCTCAAGCACTAATTCAAACACTCAGTAAGATTGAACCAGTCGATCTATCTGATCTTGAATCCTTATACTCCCTTGACGATGAACCAGCGGATCATACGATATGCATAATTGCCTTTCTGATTCGTCATGAAAAGAAGAATACAACTCAAACTCAGACTATTTAGAAGGATATTCTGATATCGGAGTATTTATGGAAAACCCTCTTCCACTTCCTCATATTTCTCTCCTTACCCAAAACCCCATTACCCCTCAGATACTACCCTTACAAAAAGCACAACAGTACCACTAGCAAAAGTCCACCTGCTTACTTTCACATACGCCAAACCCATCCCAATTATTGCATTCTTTGATACTGGATCCTCAATTTCGATATTGAATCCTGACATTCTGCCTAGCAGTTACTGGAAACCGCATCATCAACACTTTTTTAGCAGCCAATGGTGACACGTTCGTCATTGACATGATAAGTATCCTGGTATACATTAGACTCTTTCCTAAGTGCGTCATAAAACACAAATTGTTGGGATCAAGTTTACATGGAAATGATCTACGGATTGGGTTCGATATCCTCCATACACTACCAGGTCTGAGATATGCAGAACAAGGTCTCCGTTATAAGAGTTTTCTTAATCCTTGGAGTCCAATCCAAAGGCTCTACATGACCTTTACTCTTACCATGGAAACTCTCAAACAACAAATTATCCAGACTTCTTGTGCCTCTAACCATATTGAGTTCCTCAAAAAAAAAAAAAAAAACCCACTATGGTTAAACCCTTCATTCTTTGTTACCCTCCCATTCAAACAGAATGAAGACGTGAACCCAACAAAAGTAAGCCATCCCGGTATGAATCCTGACCATTATCAACTTGCAGTTCCAGAATGCTCAGAACTCGTTGATCAAGGGATCATATAGCCGACTACATCGCCATGGGCATGTGAAGCATTTTATGTCAACAAATGAAGTGAGCAAGTTCGTGGTAAATTAAGATTGTTGATAAATTATCAACCTCTCAATCACTTCTTGGCCGATGATAAGTTCCCTCTTCTCCAAAAGAAGTTGTTGTTTCAATCCCTGACAGAGGCAAGAGTACTATCTAAGTTTGATCTTAAAGCTGGATTTTGGAAACTAGGCATAACTCTTGAAGATAGGGCAAAAACTGTCTTATGTATTCCAGATCATCACTACCAGTGGAAGGTGATGTCGTTCGAGTTAAAAAAAGCTCCATCAGCTTTCCAAAAGGCTATGGTAAAAAAATATTTGAACCCATTCTCCACAATACCCTGGTATACCTTGATGATATCCTTTTATTCTCTTCGGATAGAAAATCGCATGCTGGCTTGCTTTCACAGTTTCATTCCATAGTAACAGAATATGTTATCATGCTCTCTGAAAAGAAAATGGAAATCGGTGTTGACTCCATTGATTTCCTTGGAATGAAAATCTCTGACGGTACATATCAGCCACAACCCCATGTTGCCCAAGAATTGCACAAGTTCCCAGAAAAGCTGACGTCACAAAAGGAAAGCCAACAATTTCTTGGTCTCGTCAATTATATGGATGATTTCTTACGAAAGCTATCAAGTCATACAGTGCACATGTTCCCTATGCTAAAGAAAGATTTCCCACCATGGACTGATAAACAAACGCTAGCTGTAAAAGCAATAAAGCAACTAGCTGATGTGATGCCGCCTTTAACGATTCCCACTGCTATTGACAAACGAATCTTGCAGACTGTTGCAAGTGATGAATAGTGGGGATAGTCTTGCTTGCCCAAGATAAGAATAATGTTAAGATAGTGTGTGGATACAAAAGTGGCGCGTTCAAAGACTCAGACAAGCACTATCATTCAACTTTCAAAGAGATTCTTGCGGTCAAAAGAGGAATAGAAAATTTCCTATTCCATCTTATCGGTCATGAATTCCTGTTCGAAATGGATATGTATTATTTCCCTCGTATGATGGAATTCAAAAGAAAGATGCTTTATGAAGCACAATTATTGAGGTGGTCAAATTGGTTCTCCCAGTGGAAATTCACAGTAAAACACATCAAAAGAACAGAAAATATTCTCGTAGATTTTCTGCACGACCAAAAGGCTATAAATGCAGTACTCCTAAGGATGTCTGTTGGTCCCGTTAGGGTCTACAAGAGTTCTATAGAAACAGTTTGTAGAAGGGGGGTTGAATACAAACACTATAAACTTTTAAAATTTAAAATATATACTAATAAAGAAGGATCAATACAAATTTTACAAGATTGTATGTGAAAAAAGATAAGGTAAAGATAACCTATCTAAAACAATCTAAGTTTACACACTAATGATCTTAGCAAAGACAAAAGATTTGCTATTAGACTAAGAAGGAAATGAGTTCTTTTTGGGTAAGAACTTCTTAGAATACTTAAAAGGGATTCTAACTTGCTTTGAAGATAAGCGTAAGTGTTCTTAGATGTGTGCGTGATCTCCTGTGTGTATGCACATAGTTTGCATGGAGAGAACACTCATCTATTTATACCTATTGCAATAAATGCACATTTAATGCAATGCAGTAGGGTTTGAACACGCGTCAAGCTTTTAAAGAAAAGCTTGTCCTTTGCTACAGTGAATAGTACTAAAGCCTATTCATGAGCAGACATCCTGATAGGATCGATTAACTCAGTTCTTATATTAACCCAATACTCTAAATGATCTATATGACAAACATAGTGCAGCGGAAACAAAGTAAGAATCAATAGAGCAATGAATCAAGAACAATGAAGAACAAGCAGACAATGAATAATAAGAACATACGAGAAAGGCTTCAAATGTATTTCAATTKAATTGAAATTTAGACGATTACAATCTTGGAAGCGGCGCTGATTACAAAGGAAGAAGCTACTATTTATACTATTTCCTAACCGCTTGTCTGACATGACCTAGATGTGTGAAACGATCCAGGCCGTTCAAATAACGCGGATTACAAAAGTAGTCACGTGAGAAACACGAGTAGCTAACTAACCTAAGTAAAACAACAAAGAACTATACCACAGAAGATATTGTTGCAGACCCTCTGTGAGTCATCTCAGAGGCTCTGCTGGATGTAACTTGAAAGCACTTGATTCTTGAGGATCTTCTTCCAGAACCTCTGTGATAGACAACAGAGGTTCTGTCACTTTTGACTTGTACGTTGAACTTCTGTTTATGGTCCTCTGTGATCTTATGTGGTAGGCATCTTCTGTCGACACTTGCAGAAATTACTTTTTCAATACTTTTACATTTGAATGAAATGAGAGCTAACAATCTCCCCCTAAGTATGAAAAAGTAAACCTTGAAAATTAAATGCAAGACATGACTTGAATTGGAAGAATTACAAAAGGAGATAATAAATCATCCTCTGAAAAGAATTACATAAAGATATGAATTACAAAACTGAATTACAAAATTGTGAAGCTTAGGCCAAATTCTGGTGCAGAAGGTTGTCAGACTGCAGATTCTGGAAAATCCTCTACCGCGTATAGCAAGTCAGCTTTGATCGTTCTGTAGACATTGAAGATCCATTCTCTGAAGTTGATTTGCATTTTAATCGCCTTCAAGATGGGAGACACTTCACCCGTTCTGAGATGTCCTCTGTCCACCTCTGTCGCCGCTCTTTTGAAAATCCATTCTAATGTCTCTGTTGAGTATTTGTGGACTCTGTTGGGTCATAGAACCTTAGGATATCATCTTTATCCAAATACACAAACCCAAAAATGGGATTGTGGAAAATGGAGTTTGGAGGATACCTAAGTACCCAACCAGGCCTGCTATATGGAGGAGAGAGCTTTAGATTCTTCTGCACTAACCTCATTGCCAGCTCGAAGTCCTTCTGGCTATAATACCTTACTTGAGCGCGCATGACTTCTATCAGCCTTCTGAGCGATATTTGATAGCTGGACCTCCTCTCCATGTAGATGTTGAGAATCTTGTGCATATAGATGACATCAAACATGCAGAGGTTGTGAAGGTCAGCATCTGTGAACGTGTAGAGGTTGCCATCTTCTCTCCTCACAACATACTGAGTGTAGAACACAGTCTTCTTTAGCAAGGTCCTTGGTGAAATTGTCACCAATGAAGTAATCATGTACTCTGAGAAGACCTGCTCACGAGGCCTTATTAACTTTGAGAACTGGAATTTTGCTGCGGCAGAGGGGATCCCAGTAAGCTCTGGATCATATGGGGGCTCTGTGTCTATCGCAGAGTACTTCCACATCAGAACTTCTAAAGTAGTAACGGGCTCTGTTCTGACTTGAGGTATAGAAATCTTACTCATGGATTCAAATATTTCAGACACCCTACCTGCTGTGGAAGCCTCTGGCACCTTGAACTCTTCTTCTTACAAAATTGGCCTTTGGGTCGATCCCTCTGCAAGGATTGGTTTGACAGTTCCTTGCAGAGCATCAAACGTACCCGTGGACGTTTCTTGGACTTGTGGGAATATCGATGACGTGCCTTCTCCTTCTCTGTGGGGCATTGGAACTCTGCCCTTCTTTGCTTGAGCCTCTGCCAGAGAGATTTTTAACACTTTGAGGAGCTCAGGGTCATCGGCATACTTCTTTTCATCAATTTCCTTGGGGGTCTCTGTGCTTGACGACRACCCCTTCTGTGGAGACTCTACAACTTTGGCCTTTCCTTTGCCTTTAGGCTCTGGAGCCTTTTCCTTGCCTTTTACAGCTGTAGGTTCCCCAATTTTGACACCTCTGGCAGGTGCTCTGGCAGGAGTCTTCTTTGCCTCTGAGGCTTTCTTCTTGTCCTTCTTCTCCCCCTCATGACGATCATGGTCATCACCTTCATGATCGTCATGGTTCTGTTTGGCGTCCGCCTTGCAAGTAACCAGAGGAGCCCTCTTCAAGTGACGTAGGATTTTGGTGGCCGCCTTAAACATCTTCTCGATCACCATCTCTGCACCTACAGAAGCATTCATTACATTTATCTCTGTTTCCCATTATAACTTGGAGATGCTTTGGAAGATCTCGCTTCGTAGAAGGTCACTTTCCTTCACAAGCTGTGACGTGCAGTCTCTGATTAAGGTGTTTGATGCTCGGGCCTCTGTAAGGAGTTGGGCGATGTTCCTGGTCACAACATCCCCTAGGGCTTCCACCATAGTATCTAGCTCTCTACGAGTTGCCAGATGATTGATGTTGGCCCTTGAGGTCTTGGTGTCGAGCCCGTAGGTGACCGCAGAAGAGAACATTTCCTTTATCTCGTCTCTGAATGAAGAGTAATTCGTGTAGCCTGCAGAGACGAGATCAACAGCAAATTGGGCGGCCATCTCTGTAAGCTCAGTCTTCAGCATCTTGATCGAAGAAGAGTTGAGTGCCATGGCTTGGAAGGCCTCTGCAAGGTCTTCCTTTTGAAGGACAGAGCTCTGAAGAGTTGAGAGGGTTRACTTGAGGTCTGCTGTTGTTGACGTCAACTCCTTCAGAGCCTCTGTGATTGGCGAGAGGTCCTGTGGCACCATGTGGGAGACAAATAAGCTTTTCAACTCATCTATCTTTTGGAATAGTTTTGTGGCAAAGGTTTGAAGTTCCCCCTTTGTCACATACTTATCCTGGGAACCTAAATCACCAACACATGGTGATTTAGTAGCCTCGGAGCGTGAGGCGTCCTCTGTGGCTGGTATGTCGTAACCAACATAGGGACTTTCACCAGATCCTTGAGCATCTCCCATAGGAGAGCCTATCGGTGTTCTGTAGATCTCTTGCCCTGTAGGTTCAGAGCCTAACATGGTAGATTGATCTAGTGGGGACAGAGGGCGTTCTAGACCCTTTGTCTCTGTGTTCCTCACTTGTGCCTCTGAAGCACGTTCTGGATGTTCACTCGTGTGAGGAGAGGCAACAGATGCCTCTCTTGGTTTTGTCGAGTCCATGGGCGAAGGGACTCTTGTCGTAAAACCTTCATCCTCTAGAAAGGATGAAGGAGTTGTATGAGGTTGCCCAGGTGTGTGTTCCACAGAGGACGAAAGAATGTCCTCTGTGGGGATAGTCTGGGTAGGGATCGGCATGTGCGTGCCTTTTCAATAGAGGTTCCCTCTAGAACAGGGCCTCTAGACATGTGGGTTGCACTGGGGGATGGGCTTGGTTGTGTGCCTTGGGCATCTTTTTCACCCTCACCTATATCTTCTTCTTCTTCTTTGTCGTCTAGGACGACTTCTGTCCCCAACTTGGATATGTCAATTGGTGCTCTGAACTCCTTTTGGATATTGGCAAGAACATCCTCGATTTGTTCTGTTGGGGAGACTTCAAGAACGACTTTGCGCAACCTTCTGCGCTTTGGAGTTGTGGTGGCCTCTGCCGGGCTCACTTGTGCTGCGGCCTCTGCGATCACAGGCTCTGTAGCTACTTGTTCTGTGACCACAGGCTCTGTTGGTGAACCTTCTTCATTTTCTTCTTCTTGGTCTTTGGCAGAGGTCCACTTGGGCCTTCTTCTTCGGCAGACCTCTTTTTCCCTTTCTTTGTCACAGGAGAGTCCACACCCTTATGTGTCTTCTTGGCCTTCTTGATTGGGGACCTTGGGATTCTAGGGGCTTCCTCACTCAACTTTCTAGCCTCTGTAGGCTCCTCCCGTCTTCCCTCAACTCTCATTTTCTCAATCTTTTCTCCTAGAGGGACTCCTATGCATGGTGGGGTTTCAGGGACCGGTTCTGGTCGCCTGAATCCACGTCTATAGGCTTTTCTATCTTCATGGCTTAGGAACCTAAGCATGGCTCTTGATAACGGCCTAGGGCTTTTGTACCCTTGC